GAATCTACTGGGAGATATAAACCCTATATGCAGGTGATAAGGGTATATTGCTTTATACGTAAGAGAATTTGACGACAGAAAAGTTGAAGTCATCAGTTTTGTTGTTAGGTTACCATTATGTCTTTTTCTAGTAAAATATCCAAGGCCATCTTTAAAAAAAAATGTTTGGTTGCCCTTTCCCGAACTACTGGCTAAAATTGACCCGACTCCAACCTTTTTTAAACCTCCAGAAAACAATTATTTTGTTTATGCATACCGGAAAATAGATTTCAAAAAATCAGCATTGATGTTGAAATTTTCTGAGGGAAAAATTATCCCACCTACCTACCGACCCTATTTTTTCATCCAGAGTCGGGAGAGGGCAGACAAACATTAATTAATGTTGGCCAAATGTGAAACATGCAGGTGTTTCAGACTCTGTGGTATCTTTTATTTCAAGTTCACTGGGATATATAGAGTCCACATATGAATATAAGTACATACTGGCAGTATGTAACTATTGTGTATTGATAATACGTCGTCGATATCTTTAAATATCGAGTTGAAGTCCAAAGCAAGTGTTTTCTTCTTCTCGTGTATAAGAACACAAGAATAGGTCTGCTATTAACAGGATGCAATTGGTACCCATGGCAATTCCAACAGATTGTTGGAAGACCTGATCTCCAAAAAACTACATAGATATTGTCAATTAGAAACTCAAACTTCTTCTTAATATCAACTTCAGAGTATTGTTTGTACAATCAGAATATTTTTAACAAAAAATGATCAATGACAAGGTAAGTAAATTTATGAGTTCCATTTTTATTGAGAAAAAAAAACCCAGCTGTCTATGGTGTTTAAAAGCATGAAGTTTAATTTATCGTAAGGGATGGTTGTATAAAGTGTCGAAATGTTACGTTTTGATGTTATTAATTTTGAAAAAAAAAAATGCGATTTCCTTGGAGTTCCTTAGAGTTTTTAAGTAGCCACATCTGATTTACACTACTCGAATATATTTTATATTGTTGTACTGTACTCCTGAAGTTTCTCCTTTACTACTGTTAATATTTTAGCGAAGAGTAAATAAAGAAGTTTGGTAGAACATTTACTATAACCCGCTATGTATCTTTGTAAGGATATTTATGAAGTTAAGGAATCCAGTATAGCTATGGTAATTCAAATTTATTTTGATGATTGGGAATATTAAAAATATTTAAAGATGACATATGATATTGAAAAATTTCCTCCTAATTAGAAAGGGGGCTATGGGTGTAAGTTGGATTACCACTTGCAGAATTAAACTCCAGTTCCTCTAAAATACAAATAAAACAAGCATTCTGAGAGTATTGCATTAGCAATACTAGTCCCCTACCGGCAAGAGTAATCTGGTTCCCGCTAAAATTTGAAAATGCCATAATTCCATCAAAAATCAATGAAGCGGAATGAAATGCAAACTTGATCTATAACTCATCAAGGTAAAGTCACATACCAAAAATTAGCTCAATATCTGCAAGCTTTTAGAAAAAAATTGCGGAAAACCCTGAAAAATTGAAAACGTCGTAATTCCGCCAAAAATCATTGAAGCAGAACGAAATGCAAACTTGATCTGTAACTCATCAAGATACGCTCACATACCAAAAATCAGCTCAATATCTGCAAGCGTTTAGAAAAAAGTGCGGAAAACCAAGTGGGACAGACTGACAGACAGACAGAGGGACAGACAGACAGACGGACGGACAGACAAACAGACGGACGGACAGACTCAGAGGAAACCTATAGTCCCCTCCGGTTTCACCGTCCGTCTAGCTGTCTGTCCCTCTGTCTGTCTGTCAGTCTGTCCCACTTGGTTTTCCGCACTTTTCCTCTAAACGCTTGCAGATATTGTGCTGATTTTTGGTATGTGAGTGTATCTTGAAGAGTTACAGATCAAGTTTGCATTTCGTTCCGCTTCAATGATTTTTGACGGAATTACGACCTTCTCAATTTTTCAGGGTTTTCCGCACTTTTTTTCTAAACGTTTGCAGATATTGAGCTGATTTTTGGTATTTGACTTTACCTTGATGTGTTATAGATCAAGTTTGCATTTCGTTCAGCTTCATTGATTTTTGACGGAATTATGGCATTTTCAATTTTTAACGGGAACCAGATTACACTTGCCGATAGGGGACTAGTATTGCTAATGCAATACTCTCAGAATGCTTGTTTTTTGGAAGATTGTACCCGTAGTTTACGACACGGGGACATTGGTGTAAATTAGATAATTTCAGTAAATAAATAAGTTTAATCAAATGCATGCTCTAAATAGTATCTATACAAAGTCAATTTTGTAGACATAGTCTATACATAGTCATTTTTGTAGTTTCATGTATAGCCTATACATAGTCATTTTGACTGTCTGGAATCCAGATACATGTACATATATATTTTAATTATATCATCGTCTAATAGTGTTTCTAAAGCTGATCTTGTTATTTTTTGTGCTTATTCCTGGTTGTATGTCCCTCTTTACCTCGGTTGCATTGCATTATCGGAAAACTCAGTGTCCTATTGCAACTCCCTAAAAAAATCTGATAGTATCTTTTTGCTATTGCCAACTGAGTACATGTACAGTACATGTAGGATACTTTTTTAATCTTCCATTTTCTGTGGAATGCCTTTCGAATTCTCACCACTTATTTTCAAACAATATTACATTCCCCCACATCTCTTTATAAGGCCATATTTAAATCTAGAGATGCTGAGTATTCGCCCTTTTCTGCAATACATGGCTGTCTTAAACAACTTTGTGAAATGGATCTTACTACTATGAATAGCTGCTGTACTAATAATCTCAATATAGTCCAAGAACAGAATAAATTATATGATACCAGTAATAAGATGGGTACTTCTTTCTTACTCCTGTGATGATTTTAATTGATAATACATTAATTATTTGCCTGAACTAAAAACAATAACTTGTTTTTAGAATTTTATTTTTTATTGTAAAAAAAAAATCATAAACATGCTTCCATGAAACATCACTTACACCTTAATTCTTCAAAATTGTGCATATTTATAAATAACAAAAACTACCTCTCTCAAAATCAAAACCATCAATCAACAAAATTGATCACAAGGTCTTGAAGACTCATACTTCAGTGTCTGACTACACTGATTCAGAAATTAATCAACCTAATTGCATAGTGCTAGATTTCAAGAATCTTATACAAGACAAAAAAAGTTGAAAAGTAAATCCACATACTCAAAACTGAATGCTTTTGTAAAGATATTGGTATCATTTTTTTCAGATGTACATATTTCATGACTCGTAAAAAATACCAAATAAAACATTTTTGTATACACCAGTACATAATTGTATAATCAGCCACTGCAGCAAAATAACACACTGTGATGATCCAAATACACCAATCTCATTTTAAAAAATACATGTAATGCTATTGTGTAATGCTAATAATTTAATTAGTGTCTAGGGCAATCAGCAAGCAAATCTCTTAGAAGAAAACAGTACCCTCTGCGTAAAATTACAGAGGTGCATTTGATCGTATCAGCAATACACATAGAAAACTTTGTGTATGCACATATAGCACTCAAAAGGGGAAATATGTTCACAGAAAACTTCAGATATAAAATTTGAGTATACATACATAAACAGTAAATGTACATGGGTTGTAAGCTGGGAATGGAAAGGGTTGAACTAAGTATACATGTACCTATTGTTGAACCTTTATACATCACAACTAGCAGAAATCCTTACAAAAAGAACAAGATACAAAATTTGTGCACACATTAATGGATTTCCTTTTTATCCATACTGAGAAAAACAATGAAAAAATCTCATTCTGATTCCTAAAATAAAGTCATAGTTCATTATGAGGATTTGAATACACATGACAACACTGTTTCCGGACAATGTCTTTAAGAAAGTCAGTATAATCAACCATGAGCAATATAAAACTTGAAATAAAAGAAGAAAAAAAGCACAATTATCATCAATAACAAATATTAGCATTAGAATGCTTCTGTCTTAACCCACTTTCTTCTCATCAGAAGTTATAATCAATGTTTCTAATTTTCATACAGGTTTTCTTAAAAAATTATTTAACACAGGTCAAAAAATCAAGGATAGAGGAATATAGGAAGAGTTTGTTCATGTACCCATTGATAACGAGTGAAAACTCCTAATATCAATTAAAGATTTAACTAAAAAAGAAATACCTAGTTTAAGTTTGCCATTAACAATGATAGGATTTTTCAAAGCTTCATAAAAAATTCCTCTGTGTATATATATTTCTTATTTGCAAAATATAATTAAATTTTAAAATTTCTTTCTGCATATAAGATATTGATACTAGGATAAGTGAGTAGCTTTATAATGTTCTCATCATTTATCAAATAATTATGGGGTACAATTTATAAATGATAGTCAATAGTTGGGACTTAAGGAGTGGATAAATTCCAGTAAGTGAATGCAAGTTGAAATTGAAACTAAATGAACAAAATATTTGTAAAAGAAATATATATTTTATACAAGTTTAGGCATTTTTGTGTATATCCCTTTTGCAACATTATTTGTTCAGTAATCTGTTTCTTTCCTTCAAGTTTTTTACCAATCAAACACTCACAACTTTGCAAATACACTATTTTGTTCCTACTTATTAATATGAGTAATTCCATAGAAAACGGTTAGCACATGTTCTAAATTGTTCAAAGATTAAACACAAGTTCCCTTGCCCATAGAAATACTGTCATCATTTATTGTTTCTTTTCAAAAGTTACTTTTGAAATGCATAGAGATGTTCAAACTTCTTTTCACAAAGAGAAAAAAAAACCATTTTTTATATACAATTTATCTTCAGTTTCAATTTTTTATTAATTTTTAGAGAAAATGTAGAGGTTTTTTGAAAAATCTTCAAAAGAAACCTCAAAATGATTGAAAATGGCCACACCTCATGCAATAATTCCTAAATTTGTAAAATAATCTAACTTTGAAATAAACATTAAGTACTAGCTTTCATCTGTACTCTCTTTTTATCATCAAATAAACTTCTGATGAGAAGAACTTGGGTTAAAGCTACAGACAACATTATAAACACTTGTACTCCTGAAAAAAAGTTCACTCGCTGGAAGTTGTTTTCCTGTTGGTTGCGATCTCGAGCCTCATAGTTCCTAAGAATTTGCTGATCGGAGCGAGCCTTGTCCAGATTATTGTTGACATTATCCAGCAGTCTCTGTAATAGACAGCATTTTTGAATCAACACAATAACTGTCCTACAGCTTATGACAAGATAAAGTACATTGATTATTGTTATTATAAAGTTGAAAAAAAAGTTGCAGATGCTGAAAATATGTTAGCAAGCAAGGTTACACCCATTTGCAGCCAAGTGATTTAAAAAAAATCCAAGGTCTAGAGAAAGCAGTTTATATCATATCGTACTAACTACTTAACATGAAATAGGAAGATAACAAACAGTTATCATGCTCAAAAGTTCAATTATACAATAAAAAAAGCTCACTCAGACCTTTGAAAACAGAGATTGAATCAGATGCCATGAAGGAGTCACACCCGCCGTGTGCTCTTCAACATGATCGGATAAACAGAAAATCCATACACAATTCAGTGTGAAAAAAATGGCCCAACAATTTGTATGAAAGACTTCAGTAAGCATTTGACTTCTTAGCATACATGACAATTCATTAGAGTTGAAATGTACAAGTCTTTATATAAACACTTTTTAACCTGTTAACTTTTTTACCTTGAAATCTTCAAGTGTCATGTCAACAATAGATGATAGCTCCTCTTGTGCTGCTTTCCAGTCTTTCTTATCATCGTCCTCCTCATCCTCATCATCATCCCCAGTCATGATTTCAAAGAAGACCAGCTTTCTTGCAAAGTGACTGAATGAGTTGTCAAAGCACACCTTGTATACACCAACCTCAGTGGCATCAAGTCTTCCAAAAAAAATTAGGAAAATTGAATATTTATGTGAATAACAAGGCAATGTACCTGTGTCTTTACAGAAATAGAATCATTCCAATTTTATACAGCAATTTTACCCATAAATATAAAGGCAGAGCTTACAAATTTTAACAACTGATAGCTCACAAACTTCTCATATGACCTGTTTTAAATTATGAAATGATATCATCACCTAGAGCCCACCACTGGGGTCAGAATCTTTATGATGCTACAGCTGTGGAAAGGATAAACATGTGTTTTTGTTCCTATCATTTTGCATTTGAGGAAGTGCAGATTAGTAAATAATCCAAACTTGAAACCACTTGTCCACAGAGATTAGTGTTTATAAATACAATTAATTACCCCTTATGAGGTCAACATGGTGAAATAAGGATGCAAGACTTGGCCCACAAGGTGAACTGACCTGACCGATGCCACATAGCTGTCGAGGTCTGTAAAGGTCATCATGGGCCAAGTGGAGAGTCCTTATTTCACCATGTTCATTTCATAAGGGGTAATCAATCGTTTTATTATAAGATTAAACAAAGTTTGAAGGCCTAATCTCTAAAATTGTATATAATTTGATGCAGTTTTCTGATAATGACCTTCAATCAAAAGGGTGGGACTCACAACTCAAAACAATGAAGCACAATTCACATGTTTATCAAATGTTATTTATTATACAGTTGAACTTTGATATCTCAAATACCATAGAATGTTGAAGTGACTTTGAAGTCTCAATTGCTTATTTCTTAAGTATTTTACCCTGGATATCTTAAATCATCAAATATCTCGAAGTCATTTCCTGGTCTTGTAAAGTTTAAGATAACAAAGTTTCATTGTAGTTACTGGCAACCAATGATAAACAACTTATCTAAGTATAACATTATTATAAACGATATCGAATGTCAGAGTTCTTTATTACCATTGTTCCCTGATCTGGATCGGAATTCACTAGTAAAGTTGTTTAATTTTTCGCCTGCAATTTTCTGTAAGTCTTGTAAGTTTTAATTTGATTTATGAAAAACAAAACTTTGTGATTGTCAGTAACATGCATTTTAGTAAATTCACAATTACCATTCCAGTATAATGAAAATCTGGAGAAGATTTTTACTGTATAAAACAGCCAAGTCTGCATTCTTTGATTGAATTTGACATTTAATGAAATTTTCAATGAATAAATGATAAATTTTATGACGTATCTAGCCATATCATATTCTGTATCATAAACAGACAATGCATATTTTATAACAACGTTTTTTTATTTTAAACGTTCAATCATTTCTTTATGTGTCAAGTTTGATTTGAAGGGAATTTTGATAAACAGGTCATTATGCAGGGCTTGACATCAACTTTTTTTCCTACTTGTCCATTCAGACAAGTGACCAAGACATTTACTTGTCAGAACTTGAACTCACTTGCCCGAATCTTTTTCAATAAAGATCTAATATTGTCAACTGGAAAACTAAATAAAGTCCATTACATGTGTGTGATGTTATTTATAAATACAACAAGCACATCAAACAAAATTTTATCTAGACTTTCTGTCCTGACAACAGCATAAATGTTCACAAGTGAAACTGTCAACATAAAACAGAATCCAAACTTTGTAAGTTCCATGCCTTTGCAGTACATTGTAGTATGCAATAAGTGAACTTCAATCCTGATCGAGTGTGAACTCGATAACATTGCGATCGATATGGGGATCAAAGTTTGGTTTTTATGTACTGTTTCCGTCTTTCAAGTACCGGTAATCTTTCAACAGTCATTCTTTAATTATTTGGAGACTTCTTTAAAATGCACTTGTCCAATCGGACAAGTGCCCAACAATATCCACTTGTCCTTAATTTTTTTTACACTGGTAAAGGACAAGCATTAATGTCGAACCCCTTTATGTAGAGGTCACTTTTTATAATAACCTAAATAATGACCGGGTCATTATATCCAATGTGCAATGATTCCTATTGTAGGTCATTGTTGCTGTAAAGTCATAAGTCCATAATTGTCCCTCAATCTCAAGGTACCCAGACAGGTGCAGCACCCATGGGTTTGAATGCACTGGTAAATAGTTTTACTTACTTGTGAACAGCATCCGATTTCTGGAGCTCTGATACCATGATTCTACCATGAGGTGACGTCACCATGAAGTTAATATCTAAATCACCACCATCTATAACCTGCCAATTCATTAAAAACTGTGTCATGAGTAAAAACTTTTGAAAATTCTTTAAAATTATTCAGTTCTCATTACTGTCATCATCAGAGAGATCGTTTTTTGAAAAGATATGTTTTATTTTTCTTTTTCTCTTTCTCAGAAACGTGTAAATACTAAACACAAAGCTAACTATAGTTTATTAGCAGAGTTCTTGTCATACCTGATACTCGATTTCAAAACTCGTTGGTTTTTTAATCTCCTCAAAGAAGCATTCTTCATAACCTGGTTTCACATCTACCGTTAAGTCTATTTCTAGTGTATGTACAAATATTGTCAAATTGAAAAGAAGAGTCACAAATACAAAGAAAAGGGAACTTTTAAACATTTTTACAACTTTGCCACACATCCCACTCAAAACAGGAAGTATACAATTGCTGTAAATTAAGAACCAAACAGTGTCAACTTATCCGGGGGCAAACAAAAAATTCAAAATGAAAGTTCCCGGATTATTTATGAAACATATGCTTTAAACATCTGGGTTGGCACATCAGATATGAATTTTATTCAATTCATCAATGCTATCCGTCTCCAAGGACCTTGACAAGAACTTTTAAGAAATGAAAATGTCGTTAATTTTTGTTTCTGAATTTCCAGGCAATCTCAGTGATCACGACAACTTTTATGGAAGCCTTTAGAATTTAATCGAGCAAAAAATAAAATAAAAACTGGCGAAGTTTATTTAATTTCCATTGATTTGCAAAATATCATATGTTTTAATGTTATCAAACAAATCAATCCCCATTCATTATACAATTACGAAGATAAAATACTTCTGTAATAAAACATGTTGTTTAAGCACATTAAAAAAAAAATATTGTGCTGTTTTAGTTCATTATGATATGCATATGTTTCAGAAGGCTGCTTGACTAGAAAATGTGGACCGAGAATGAATGCACCTTTTGTCATCATTTTCTCTCAATCTGTAAATTAAAGCTAGTCGTTGTATGCGTACATGTACCTATATAACGTTAGATTCCAACAGTTTACAGCCATGCATATACATGTAGTGTCAGGGTCGGGGGGAGAGGTCCCTTTTCCCAAACATGTTTCACTGTTAAATTAGCATGGAAAAGCGACCCCCCACTTTTTTGTAGGATAGTCAATTCATCCCATGTTAACCTATTAATTTTTTTTAATTGGATCCTAGCCCCCCCCTCCCCCCCGAAATTATTCATTTATTCAATTAACTCTATAAATGATAACAGGATAAAATAGTATGAATTTTTTAAATAAAAAGTTTAATCAAAGATTAAGCTCATATTTTGTTAAAAACTGTACAACGCCATGCAGAAATGACACTTGATTAGTGTATTCTAATACTAAATTTTGCTATGAATGAATGAATGCATACCAGAACAATCTATAACCATTCGCCCTCGTGACAAACCATGGTTTGATTCAATGTTACGTAAAACAATAAGAATTAGAAACCGCCTTCGTAATAAAGCACAGAAAACTAAGAAAGATTCTGATAGGTCTGCTTATAGAAAAGTCCGAAATTCAGTTAACAATATGAAAAAGCACGCAATTTCAAATTATTATGATAATATAGAAACCTACTTGGAAGACTCAAGTAAAAATAACAATAAGTTATATTGGAAGTTAATGAAAGATTCATTTAATATTAAATTATCTAACGAAATACCACCAATACAAATATTTAATGACGGTTTAAGACAAGTAGCTTATTCCGACTTAGACAAGATTGAAGCATTAAATTCGTATTTTTCTTCGATTTCTTCTATTGATGATTCTAAAGAAACACTGCCACAAATGTACTTTATGTGTAATGACACACTATGCAATATTAAAATTGATGAACAAGAAGTATTAGACATAATATCAATACTTCCCGTGAACAAAGCTATTGGTCCTGATTGTATTAGTCATAAAATGTTAAAATCCACTCTTTCTACTGTTGTTAAACCACTTACTATGTTATTTAATAGGTCTTTGTCAGATAAAGTTTTTCCATCGTTTTGGAAATTAGCACATGTTATTCCTCTTTTCAAAAAGGATGATCCCTCTGTGGTTTCCAATTATAGACCTGTATCGTTATTATCCTGTGTTAGTAAAATTATGGAGAGAATAATATTTAAACACGTGTACAATTATTTTCATATTAATGATGTATTTTATCGATACCAAGCAGGATTCCTGCCTGGTCATTCAACTGTATATCAATTACTAGAAACGTATCATAGTATAGTTCAAAACATTGATGATGGTAAATCATGTTGTATGGTTTTTTGTGATCTTTCAAAGGCTTTTGATAGAGTATGGCACAAAGGTCTCATTTTTAAATTAAAAACTTATGGTATATCTGGTGATCTTCTCCAATGGTTTTCCAGTTATCTATGTCAAAGGTCACAAAAAGTTATGTATAAGGATCTGTTATCATCAAAACAAGATATTTTTGCAGGTGTACCTCAGGGTTCTGTTTTAGGACCACTATTATTTCTCATTTATATTAATGATGTTGCTGAAAATATGATTTCAATGTGTAGATTGTTTGCGGATGATAATTCCCTTCAACAATCATCATACAATATATTAGATATGGAATACAAATTGAATCATGATTTACATAATTTGGAACTATGGTCAAACAAGTGGCTTCTTAAATTCAATCCATCCAAAACAACGGTCGTTTATTTCAGTAAGAAAAACATTTCTGTTATGCCTAAACTATTTTTTAAAGGCGATAGACTGGAGTGTGTTCCAGTCCACCGCCATTTGGGTTTACTATTGTCACAAAATCTTAGTTGGTCAGAATATATTGATGGTGTTGTAAACAGTGCTTACAATGTATAAAAAAAAAACTAGGCCTCTTAAAGAAATTGAAGTTCAAAATGGGTAGAAAAAACTTATCAAAATTGTATATTTCGTTTATCAGACCTATGCTTGAATATGCTTCAGTTGTTTGGGATGGCTGCTCTAAACAAGATTCTGAAAAGCTTGAAAAAGTACAATTAACCGCCGCTAGAATTGTAACAGGACTTCCGATTTTTGTGTCTAGAGAAGCACTATATTCTGAAACTGGTTGGGAAACTTTAAAAACCAGGCGATATATTGCAAAAATGACAACTATGTTCAAAATTCACACGGGAAGAGTACCTGAATATTTGCATGATATTGTCCCCAATAAGCGTGAGCATGTATCTCTATACAATACCCGTAATAAACAAGATTATATTGTTCCAAGGTGTAGATTAGAATTATTTAGAAACTCTTTCGTACCTGATGCTGCAAAACAATGGAATTTACTAAAAACAGAGGTTAGAGAAGCCATCTCAATCAAAACATTCCGAAAAAACTTGATAACAAAAATTAAAAATCCACCATCATACTTCTCTTTTGGTAAGCGATACACCAATATCATTCATACTAAGCTAAGAATTCCTGTATTCTAAATTATGATCTTTATAAACGAAACATTATTAAAAGTCCCTTATGTTTATGTGGAAAAAACGAAGATGTGTACCATTTCTTTTTTGCATGGAAAAATTATTTTTATGCAAGAAGTACTCTTTTTAATCGCTTGTTCACTCTTGAATTGGTTACTATTGATATAAATCTATTATTATGTGGTGATGTTAATTTGCCTTTACAGATAAATAACAGTATTTTTGCTGCTGTTCATAAAGAGCTAAAGCCACGAACCATCATATTTGGCCCTGTGTTTTTCACAAAAATAAAGTTTCGATTCAAGAAGAGTACTATACGTTAAATGTTAGAGGACAACATACTTCTTTTCCATATGTAACTCATTTCGTTATATAATCCGCCATTAAGCACGTGCGACAGTTGGAAAATGCGACAGTATCATTCAAACGTTAAAAATGCCGATTTTTCGACAGATTTTCCCAAAGTTAGATGTGGCCACAGTCAAGAACAACTTTTATACTAACCATAGATATAGATATCGCCGATACAAATCTTTATGTTTATTATCGTTGTTGTTCGTGGCTGTGGCCAATATGAAATTTAATTTTATATTTAAATTCTGATGGATCAAATAAATCGCTAATTTGTGAATCAATCGTTTACATTCAATTCATGCAATAATAAAAAAAATTATAAATTTCACAAAATATGCTAGAAAATCAGTCTATTGTTCATTTAAAACACTAAATGTAAAGAAGAGTCAACTATATATATTTTCTGAAATAAATATCTGGAAAAACTTATGGTTTTTATTATGAATAGGTCCATTATATATGACGTTACTAGTAATACGTCAGTTGTGACGTCATAAAGGCTGTAAATTATTTGGGATATTGTTGAAAAGTTTATAACTCTCTCGAATAATGAAATTAAGGTATGTCACTCGTGAAATTAGTTATATCAAGGATTTTTTCAGAAGTATATTTTAGATAAGTACTCATAAAGCATGACTCAAAATCACATAGAAAATGGGGGGGGGGGGGGGGGGTCAGTGTGCATCTTGCTGGGCTACGGTACAATTAAGTTGACCTTTTTGCACTTAAATTGTAACTCTTTGGTTAATCACTTTAATCTTTATCATATTTTATCAGATGTAATTATGGCAATAAATATAATTCTAATTTACGTAAAACAGTTTGAATAATATTTATCATTGAACAAATCATGCAAATTAATGCGCAGAAATTATTGTGTGACCTTTGTGCACTAAAAAAGTATCACACTGGGGTACAAAAAATCTAAATAGCCAATAAAATATTTTCTTGTATCAAACTTTTAATGACTTAAGTGCTAATCGGTAGAAAGTATCACGTTGTTAAAAATAATAGAAGAAAAAGTTGGGGTCAGTGTTGTAAATTTTGAGATATTGGACAAAATGTGCGAGATTCAAGCAAAAAACGGTGTAAATTTTATCTTGACTTCTTTAATATATCTTTATTACTTGGCAGAGTCTATAGAGTGAATGTATAAAATTTGTTCTAAAAATATAAATCGAGATCTATATTTAATATTCCTAGCATATCATAACGGAAAATATTCTCTAAGTAAAAATATGTGGGGCTAAAGTTCCAATATGTTAAATTTAACAAATGTGTATATTCTAAGAATTTTCTTCTAAATATCCTTCCACCACAAAAAATTGTCCCTCATAAATCTTGCTTCTTTATGTATTTATGAGCAGTTTTTTTTAATTGAATGTTGAATAATTTGCATTGTTTAAACTAAATATGTTATAAAAATTGAATTGTTATAAATAGTTTTGAAGTTAAAGGATCTGACTGAACTTTTCTAAAAAGCTGACGAGTGACAAACCTTAAGATACTGCCCCTATTTATATGATTTAAACCCAACTGGATGATACCATCAAATTATACGTTATCAGAAATTCCCGCCACGGTGCTTTTCTTTACTACCCCCATCCCCC